AACCTGAGCTGAAGGCAGACGCTTAACGACTGAGCCACCCAGGTGCCCCTGACCTGCTTTTAAATATAAACATGACTGGGTGGAGAGTAATGGACTTTTAAGTTAAAAGCGGGGAATTAAGACTATCCCACAGATTTTTCTTTTCTTTCTTCTTAACAAACATCCCCCAAATAAGTTTTTTTAAATCCTCTCCTCCCAAAAAATCACTAATAATCAGCAACAACCAGAGATAATGTAATGAACTTCAAACACTGATGTCAAGGAAGGAAGCAGAAGATTCTGGAGCACAGAGGAAAAGTAGAGGATGGCTTGGCTCCTAATCACACCACCACCCTGAAATCATATTGGAGAGCCCACATATCTATGAATTGAAGGAAATCTGAAGGTTACCAATTGAGGGATACCCTTTCTTTTCCCCCTATCCTTGGTCATCACTCTCTCCCTGAGGCTAATTTCCCATTGGGAAATGACCCAAAGTTGAGAGTATTCCTCAAAGGGATTGACTACTACTTGAAAGTGTGAAAAGCAGAACAATGGTTCAGTGCATTCAATAATGAAAATGAAAAAAAAAGGGGGGGGAAGGCAAGGAAAGAAGAAACCATGCAAATATTGATAAAGAAAATGATCTACAGGGATACATATTTAAAAGAATAGGAAGAGGGATACCTGGGTGGTGCAGCTGGTTAAGCATCTGACTTCTTGGTTTCGGCTCAGGTCGTGATCTCAGGGTCCTGGGATCGGCCCCAGGTTGGGCAACATGGTTGGCCCGAAAGTCTGCTAAAGTTTCTCTCTCCCTCTCTCTCTGCCCCTCCCCCCACTCTCTCTCTTTCTCTCTCTCAAATAAATAAATAAATCTTAAAAAAAAAAGGAATAGCAAGAAATTTTATATCTATATGAACTGTATGTATACTAATTAAAAATAAGACCCCATCAAGAAGAGAGTAAACAGAAACAAAAGAAACAGAACAGAGAACATTAGACTTAAAAATATAAATTAAAGTTCCAAGCAACACCATTACAAAATACATTGAATTACAAATAGCAAGGTATAGAAGAGACAGCATTGAAAATCAAGAGAAAAGCTTAAGATGAACATAGTATATGCAGTTGAAGAAAAAGAAATTAAAGAAACACAGAGAAGCCCACAGAAACATAAGATAGAAATGGTCCAACATGAAGATAATTTGTGTCCTAAATGGAAAGTGCCCCCAAAATGGGCCGGAATATCTGTTTTTTTAAAAGATTTTATTTATTTATTTGAAAAAGAGAGCGAGAGAGAGCAAGCACTAGCGGGGTGAGAGGCAGAGGGAG